ACGCTACCATGCTAACGCTACCATGCTAACGCTACCATGCTAACGCTCACGCTACCACACATCATGAGCTAGAGCTAATGACGTCAGAAACTACCCACTCCTGAAACCTCCTGATTTATCTCCTGGATTCAGACTGAGGCAGCCCACAAAAACATGACCGCTGATAGGCCCTCCACAGTCCCAAATGTACACAATCAAATGATTAAAAACTTGGTTTTTCATAATATCTCCCCTTTAAAGATGCTATTTTAGTCAAATGACTTCCTTTATTATCCTTATTATAACATAATAAGTTATATATTATGACAGAAAACAAGTAAATCTCAAGTATGATTTTGATATTCTCACAGAGCTCAGGATCTTTTGCATAATATGCAGAAATATTAAATGCATAATAAATCTTCTATGCTTTTACAGAAAGACACAGATGAAGAAGTGAGAGAGTTCCTGCACAACAATATGCATCTGCAAGGCAAGGTGAGGCAACGGTTTCAGGGATGAGGAAGAAAACCCGGTTTTGAACCCTGAAAAATCCCTTTACCCTGTTTCAACCGAGAGTAGGGCAAATATGGCATTCATGGTCAGAAATCTTCTTTTTGTGAACACTTCCAATCCCGTTTTAAATTCGTTTTGCCCTGGATCTGGTATTTGTAGACATGTTTTATTGTTCAGGACCCATGTTTTATTGTTCAGCATTTATAGTATTTAGGTTATCCCGTTTTTGTAGCATCTTTGCATAAAAAAAAATGAATTTAGCTATTTCAACTGGGAAAGAGAGCAAGTCTTCTAAAGAGCAGTGACATTAAAAACGTTTGCTTTGGGGATGTTGCAGCATACTGGCATTAAAGGTGATGTCTAAAGTATAGATAAAACTAATAATAAGACTCAAACAGGTTTTTTGTAAAATGAAAAGTTACAGTTCCTTGTCTGGTACTAGTTCAGCCTCCAACAAAAAGGACATAAACCAACCCAAAAGCAAAAAGGGGAATTGGTCTATTTTGATATTTTGATATTTGTATTCAGGGTTTTAACCCTTTAAAGCCTGATCCAAGAAAAATAGGAAGAATGTTGGATTGTTTTAGTCTGAAGTCTTTCTTTGGCCCCTCAACAACATATGAAGAAAAAAAACAGAATTTTTTAAAATCAAATTAGCGTACAATAAGTCAAAGATATATTTTAGTGTAGTCTTTTACTGGCTGTTATCAGGTATATCTGAAGCTTTTACCATTGAATGATGCAAAAAGTCTCAGATCCAAAAGACCTCAGAAACCGTATCTATCAAATATGATACATACGGCATTATAGGCTTAAGGGACATTCTGATAATATCTTTATTTGTCCCAAATAGTGGCATAATGAAATCTCTGATAGTGTCGTACATCTTAAGTGTGTTGATAACTGGTGTGGCTTCAGGTGGAGGACCCGGCTATGCGCTGGCAGATGTCTCTTTATAAGGAGCGCTCTGGGAAGGAGGAGGACGCCGAGGACCCCGAGAAGGTGGTCAAAAGGGTCCAGGAGGTGTCGGCCGTCCTGTACCACATCGAGGTGGTGAGTACCGACCCCGGTTCTGGAGCCCAGAAAGAGCCGCGAGCCTTTTTTCCGGAGAGTGCTCCGCTCACCTGTGGGCTTTCCCCCCTCAGACCGAGCACCCCTTCAAGTCCAAGAAGATGGTTTGGCACAAGCTGCTGTCCAAGCAGCGGCGCCGGGCGGTGGTGGCCTGTTTCAGAATGACGCCTCTCTACAACATCCCCGCGTAAGCATTTATTCCTCTCTGACCTGCTTACTTGGCTTACTAAGGAAATGGATATCAGGGTTTGAAATTCGTGGGAATCTGGTGTTAGCTAGCAGGGCTAACAACTCAGAAAAGTTGTTAGCTGACCAAAAGTAGCCCGATTGATTCTGTTCTGTCACGTGGGCTCCAGCAGACTAAATCTGAATATTTCTTTGTAGCCTCGCCTCACATCGCGTCAAATTCGGTGCTATAATATTTTAAAAAACGTTTTCAGTTCTTCTCGCTTGGCGGCGCAACCTCGTCCTGCCTGCAACGATTTCATAAAAATTATGATACACTGTAAGATAACATGGAGGAATGATGGATTTTAAACGAAAACCCTTTATTTAGTTGATTCCCTGTTTATTTTGCATGTATTCGATATAAAAACTTCATTTGCAAACCCGTCCTACCCCACGGAGCTGAGCGCACGACCCAAACTAACCCAATCCAGCCCAAAAGGGACCCAAACTGGCCCAAAAATGACTTAAACTGGTCCAAAACGGACCCAAACTGGTCCAAAACTGACCCAAACTAACCCAAAATGAACACAAACCAGTCCAAAAGGAGGCTAAACTGGTCCAAGAGTGGTCCAAAGCCTACCCAAACTGACCCAAATCAGTCCAAAATAGGCCAAAGATAACATGGCGGGACGATGGATTTGAAACAAAAACGCATTTTTTTGTTGATTCCCTGTTTATTTAGCATGTATTTGATATAAAAACTTGATTTGCCCATGGAGCTGAGCGCTAACAGCTTTTGATTTTCTCACACCGGACAATAAAGGTCATTTCGTACCCTGTATATATGTATATGTATATGTATATGTATATGTATATGTATATGTATATATATATATATATATATATTTTCCCGTTGACATGTAACACACTAACCCCCAGCCCAAAGACATATCTTGATATCTAAGATACAGAAGAAGTTACGGTAACAGCTAGCACACTGCGGCTAAAATGGGATTTGAGCCCTGGACCTTCGTATTAAAACTCTGAAGCTCTACCGGCTGAGCTATCTGGCCTCTGAGCAGAAATGAGCCACAAACAGGCCCCAAACTTCTCAGACTTTTGCTCTCTTACAGGCACAGAGCGACCAACATGTTCCTGGACGCCTACAAGCGCAACTGGCTGGAGACGGAGGGCTACTCGTTTGAGGACAAGATGATCGACGACCTTTCGGTAGGCGCCCGCGAAACCCGTCCCCCGCTAGCCAAACCGCTCGCTAACGCCTCGTCTCCGGTCTTTAGAAAGCCTTGGAGGAAGAGGAGGAGGAGGAAGAGGAGACGGAGACCAAGCCGGACCCCCTTCATCAGCTGATCCTCCACTTCAGCCGCACGGCGCTCACAGAAAAGACGTACGCCGGCCCTCCTCTTTCCCCGGTTTTCCCTCGCTTTGACTCGCAGGTTCTGCTCACGTTGCTTCTCCCCCCCACAGCAAACTGGACGTGGACCATCTTTACATGTCGTACGCTGATATTATGGCTAAGGTAGGTCCACCCCTCTGGTCCTATTCTCTGTTTTACGGGGGGAAAAGTGCAGCTTCTCAGAGCTGGGAGTTTGCACCTTGACCCTGTTAGCCCGATTCTTTAGCTGGAAACCTGAGAATAAACCAGAGTAGATCAAAAGTATAAAAAATAACATTTATTAGGTTACAGTTAAGTATGTGTGTTTGTGTGGACCTAAATGTGGATCTAATGCAATCAGAGAAAGAAAAAGAGAATCTGTGGACACAACCAGAGACTTTAACACAAAATATAGTTATACAAATGAAAATAAAATAAACAACACAAACTATAGTTCTATAAGGAAATAAAACAATCAGTGATTTGCAAAGATCATGTGATAGCATGCAATGCTAAAGTGAGTAGTTATAGCCAAATTCTAACAGGAGGACTGGACATAACTGAGTCCTATTGGCCAGTTACCTGTGGGCATGAACAGGCCAGGTCCTAATTCATGCAGATGACAGGAATGTGGTAACAAATGGTGTGTTTGTGTATGTTGACCTAAAGGTGGATCTAATGCCTTGAGACAAAAAGAGGAAAATAAAATCTGTGGTTACAGCCAGAGCCTTTAACACAAAAAATAGTTCTATTGGGAAATAAAACAATCAGTAATTTACACAGATCATGTGATAGCCTACAATGCTAAAGCGAGTAATTATAGCCAAATTCTATGTTGAGGAGGGTTTTAGGGTTTCAGGAATGGACTTTGATCTTCGATCTTCTCCCCTCTCCCTGCAGAGTTGCCACATTGGTGAGGAAGACGAAGGGGGAGAGCAGGAGGGGGAGGAGCCATCCTTTGAGGTGCGACAGACAGAGATGGTATGGGGGGACCAGGGGAGGGGACACAGGGGAGTCAGCGGAGAAGCAGCTCCCCCCCGGAGCGGCCACACCGTGACATCACACCCGGCACACCCCCCCCCCACCCAACACACGCCTTCCACAGCATATCCTCTCTGGTCCACTCACGCCGCGTGTCTCCTTCCTGACCTGTGCATGCCTTTGCTGGACTCCATTCGTTCTGAGGCTGCATGACCCGACCCGAGTGCAGAGAGGTGGTGGAGCTAAACACAACCACCAGGCCACAGCGTTAGCTTTAAGCTAGGTCCGTTAGCCCCGGAAACCCCTTTCTTTAGTCGTAGATGGACTTATTGGAAAAAAAAAGAGCATTATTAGCCCTCGTTTGAGCCTGATTTGTGCTCCTAGCTGTGTTAACTATTAACTATTTTGTGCGTTTGCAGTCACTTGTCACCCGGATCTGATCCCGACTCACGCCTGCTGTGCTCACGTTTTCCTTTTGTTGACCGACTCTGATTGATTCCGGCTCACTTGGAGGACTAACCGATTTTTGTTTGTTGTCTTTACTTTGATTTGGACGGCGCTAACAAACCCTCCTCTGTGCTCGCCAGGGACTACAGTAAAAGCCTGCACAGTCCGAGCTCACGCCAGCAAACACTTGAGTCACCACACACACACACACACACACACCCACAAACACACACACACACACACATTCATAACTGAACCTCCCACCGCTCCCACAAAGGCACACAACAATAAGCAGAAGCTCTGTAACCAGAGGAAAATAAATCTGTGCAGCATTTTTTAAAGACAGGCTCACGTGGGAGGGGGGGTGGAGGGGTTTGGGGGGGTGGGGGGGGCAGAGGGAGGGGTGGATGTGGTTCTGTGTGTCTTGGGAGGTGCATGGTGTGCGATGGGTGGGTCAGATCTAACCCCTTTTGTCAACAGGAAGGTGTGTGTCACCCCAGACTTCCCCTGGTTAAATAAATAAAATAAAAGTATGAGATGGAAAACCAGACATGAAGAAGGTTTACTGTCCCTCTCAGGCTAGTTTGGGACCCAGAAAATGACCCAGAATTCTGTCCCAGAGGGTCGGAAATACCTGAAAAGAAGGAGAAAGTAGAGGGAAAAGTAGATGAACGGATAAGAAATGGGATGAGAGTCTTCATTAGCAGGTTTAGAAGCAGGGAAACATCTAAATCCTGGAATAAACCAGACCCTTAAGACCAGATCTGGACACTTTTGAACATCCAAATGTCAAAAAATGTAAGAAATGAGGGTGTGTTTGAGGTGTGGCCCTGATCATGGACCTAAATTACTTATTTTAAGAACGACTCTCATCAATTTTTGCGTCTTAAAATGCTGAAAGGGAGCCAAGACAGAAGCCAGACCCACCCTAAACCGTTCAGTTGGATTTGGAGGTTGCATGCTGTGTTACTCAGACTTGGAGGAGTGTGTGAAGTGTGTGTTGTGTACTGTTGGACAAAGTTTTTGCTGTGTTTCAAGAGTTGGAATAACTAATACACACTGTGTGAGAGAGAGAAAGAATGAATGAATGAATGGAGGCAGTTAAATCCACCTACCGGGAGTCAAAGTAAGTGGGGGAGTTTGGCCTTGAATACGAATATGAGTTCATTTCCTGGTATGATAGAGTCTGCTTCAGTGAGTTTTCATTAACTTTTTAGATTAAGCAAGACAAACAGGAAACTCAGGTTCCAAAGGTCAGAATTAACTTAATCACCGCGGTGTTTCTGATCTCAGATATGTTCAAAAACAGTTCTGATTTAAAGTTAATGGAAAGTGAGTGATAGATTAGGTAATTTTATAAGAAGAAAATATGCAAATTCTGTCTAAAACCTACAGGACAGGAAAGCAAAGACAAAGGAAAATAAGTAAATAAGTGGATAAATATTAATTAATGACGCTGTGAGATACAGGTTAAAAAAAACGGTGGAAATTGGACATTAACATAAATAAAAACACAATTTAAAACTAAATCAAACTGATTTCAACCTTGATTTCAACTTCTATTTTTATTTAAAAAAATTTTAACCGAGTTTTTTATTTAATCAGAATCAGCATCAGAATCAGAAATACTTTAATAATCCAAGAAGGAAATTATTTTTGTTACTAGCTCCATAAATAAAACGACAGCATATACATATATACATGTCTATATTTATATATATATATATATATATATATACAAAATTCCAAGTTTTTTTATTTAAACTTAAATTTTAAACCAGCCTGAAACCTTTTAATGATGAGCTCCGAAACCAGCAGCTCCAGTGTGGGCTTAGTATCGAGTTGTGGGCGGAGCCCCTTGTTGTGGGCGGAGCCCCTTGTTGTGGGCGGAGCCCCGCGTTGTGGGTGGCGGTCTGAGTGTGTGTGTGTGCCTGTGGGGGGCCGTGCAGGTCCTCCCTGCGGGCTTTCAGCCGGCTCCGTTGGCTCTGCTCCGCAGGAGAAGGAGATGGAGAAGCAGAGGCTGCTGTACCAGCAGTCCCGCCTGCACAACCGCGGGGCGGCCGAGATGGTGCTGCAGATGATCAGCGCCTGCAAAGGTACCACCCCCCCCACAAACCCCAAACCCACCCCCAACCCCCAACCCCATCTGCCCTCACACTGTCTTCCCTACCCCCAACCCCCAAAACCCCATCTGGCCTCCCACTGCTGATCCCTGTCTGTCTTCACGAAACTCTTGAAGACCCACCTGGGAATTGCTGGGTTTCTGCAATTAACTCATTGGCTGCCAAAGAGGTCTATAGACGTCAATTCAATTACAACCGTTGACTACCAAAGACGTCTGTAGACGTCTTTTATGTTTTTCAACACGAGTGGCTTGGGGGACGATCTGCTAAAGCTTGTCCGTAAATATCAGGCTTCTAGACAGAGTATGTAGTAACAAATTGACCCTCTAGGGGGCAGTGCCACTTTTGATGGGAGATGAGCATAGACTGTAGGCAAATAAGAAAAAGCTAACGGTTCGCTATGAGAGAACATGTCGCCGGTGAGACGCAAGTTGAGGAAGAACGGAATAAGGTAGAAACAATTATTTTTTCCTGATGAAAGAAGAGAGTCTACTCTTTCTTTTGGTGTGTTCGGTGTTTACATAGTCATAGCACAAACTATTCTGTGGCTCTTGAAAAATCAGTCAAAATGCTCAAAAAACTCTGGCAGTCAATGAGTTAACTTCAGAGTAGGATCTGACCTGCTCTGTTTGGAAAGCGCTTTGAGATATCTGTTCTTGTGATGGGGCGCTATATAAATAAAATTGAATTGAATTTAATTGAACCTCTTCAAAGAGCATCTCCTATCCTAACCCTAACCCGTACCTGTATCCCCCCACATCTCCTTCTGTAGTCCCTCTACCTCTATCTCTATCTCACCACTGACTCTGATCAGTGTTTCTCCTCTGTATAGCTTATTGTCATAGTGATGATAAATGTAATATTGTGTCTACTCTGTAAGTCGCTTTGGATAAAAGCGTCTGCTAAATGCAGAAACATAAACAGAAACATGTAGTCAGAGGAGCCAGCACCTCGTTGTCTGGCTTCTCCTTAGCGAAGCAGATAAAGAGGAGTGAGGTCATCTCACCAAAAATTCCTCATGGGCCCCATTTGTAAACCCGACCGGAGGGGATGGACCTAAATCAGTGTTTTTACTAGTGTGCCGTGAGTGATTGTCAGGTGTGCCGTAGAAAATCATCCTATTTCACCTAATTGGTCTAAAAAGATATTTTGATAAGGAATTAATTATCTGCAAATAATATGCCATTTTTGAGTGTCTGTGCTGAACTAGTGACTGGTGGAGTAATCATGTAATAATTCCTTATGACTAGATTTTGTGTATAATTTTGTATATTGAGGTGGACATGTTAAGTGCAATTTGAAAGAAAAAATATAAAATATGATAAAAATACATTTTTGTGTTTATTTGATTCCTATTCATGACACTTAATGTAAGATAAGAATAAAATAAGAATAACTATAGTGTCACTATAGGCGGCTACAGATTTGTTTGACATTTTTGGTTGGTGGTATGTGCCTCTGGAATTTTTCTATGAAAAAATGTACCTTGGCTCAAAAAAGGTTGAAAAACACTGACCTAAATGATGCTAAATGTAAAGTTCTGCTTGTTTCAGGCGAGCCAGGAGTCATGGTTTCTTCCACGCTCAAACTGGGAATCTCCATCCTCAACGGAGGCAACAGCGATGTGCAGCAGGTACGGGAGGCCGGAAAAGGCTGGGAAAACTCAGCCACGACAAAATGAAGGAGGCTTTTTAGACTTAGACTTGTACTTTATTGATCCCTAGGGAAGACTACCTCAGGACATTAAAGTTACCAGCAGCTTACAGGGCAAAAAAGTGGCACACAGAGAGCAAAATGCAAAAAAACAAACAAAAAATACAGATTAAGTACAGGTAGGTACACACTAATAATAAATACAAAGAAAAAAATAAAAAACCCTAAATTGATAAAAAATAATCAAAGAATAAGAATAAAAATACAACGTGAAAATAAAGACCCCTAAATTAAGCAAAAATAAGCAAAGAATAAGAATATAAATACAAAGTAAAAAATAAAAGCCCTTAAATTAAGCAAAAAAAAGCAAAGAATAAGAATAAAAATACAACGTGAAAATAAAGACCCCTAAAAAAAATCTAGGAGTTTGGTGGATAGATTGACCATTGATATGTGGTTTGGCCTGATAAATATGGAGTTCACGTTTTACAGAAAAATACAAGATACAAGCCCTCTGGCTGTCAGTAAAACTTCCATCAGCATTTCACGCATCGAGCAGTTTGAATTACCCAATTTTATCTAGAAAAGTCGGTCAGAATCTGGAAAAATGAACAATTTGTACAGTTCTGAGGAGTTTTTTAGGCCCAGCTCTTCTTCTTCTGTCCTCCACTGGTCCAGTTTCCTCAGATGTTTTAAGGACTCTGCTCACCAGCTCAGATCTTTACAGTTTCCAGCCAGCAGCTCTTTGGGAATTCTCAGAAATCCTCTTTCCTGTCTGTCAGACTGGCTTTTCTTTGGCATTTTTCGCCATCAGCTAAAGACACGGAAAAAATTCTGTGTTTTTGTGACGGGCTTCTCCTAACAAAGAGCCTAAAGATCCCCTTTAAAATACTTTTTCTGCTGAGCTGGACACAATGCTGGCTCAGCCCTTGAGTTACGGGCTTTTTTTTTTCCTGCCTGAATGCTTCATAAATCATTATGCGGGACTCCAACAAAGAAAGGAAATTTATCATTAAAATGGTAAATGAGGGAAAAAGCAGCCAGGGTCCCACAAAAATAAAAGAAAGATCCTCGGAAAAGCCGGTTAGACGCTTGTTTTCTGGGGTTTTATTTGTCTGACTCTTTCTCTTTTGTGCGTGTGCAGAAAATGTTGGACTACCTGAAGGATAAGAAGGACGTGGGCTTCTTCCTGAGCGTTCAGGCTCTGATGCAGACCTGCAGGTGGGGGATTTTTCTGACCCTCTCCTGCCGGGGAAACTGGTCTTTGTGAGACTGATTTCTGTTTGAAAACACTTCCTGTCTGCAGCGTTTTGGACTTGAATGCATTTGAGAGACAGAACAAGGCAGAAGGACTTGGGATGGTTTCAGAGGAGGGCGGCAGTGAGTATGCTGCGCACACACACACACACACACACACACACACACACACACACACACACACACACACACACACACACACATATGCCTGGTTCACACAGGATCTTGTGAGTGAATTCCTGGTTCCAGAGACTGGATCCCATGTGGATGCCTGGTTCTACGCACTAGAACCTGTGTGTGGATGCTTGGTTCCACAAATTGGATCCTGTGTGGATGCATGGTTCCATACTGGATCCCGTGTGGGTGCCTGGTTCCACAAACTTGATCCTGTGTGGATGCCTGGTTCCACACTAGATCCTGTGTGGATGCCTGGTTCCACACACTGGATCCTGTGTGGATGCCTGGTTCCACACTGGATCCTGTGTGGACGCCTGGTTCCACAGTAGATCCTGTGTGTGGATGTCTGGTTCCACACACTAGATCCTTTGCAAATGCCTGGTTCCACACTGGATCTTGTGTGGATTCCTGGTTCCACACTAGATCCTGTGTGGATGCCTGGTTCCAGACTGGATCCAGTGTGTGGATGTCTGGTTCCACACTGGATCCTTTCTGGATGCTTGGTTCCACTCTAGATCCAGTGTGGATTCCTGGTTCAACACTGGATCCTTTCTGAATGCTTGGTTCCACACTGGATCCTGTGTGGATGCCTGTTTCTACACACTGGATGCTTTGCAAATGCCTGGTTCCACACTGGATCTTGTGTGGATCCCTGGTTCCACACACTACATCCTTTGAAAATGCTTGGTTCTACACACTGGATCCTGTGTGGATGCCTGGTTCTACACTAGATCCCATGTAGATGTCTGGTTCCACACACTGGATCCTGTGTTGATCCCTGGTTCCACAAACTGGATCCTATGTGGATTCCTGGTTAACACTAGATCCCGTGTGGATTCCTGGTTCCACACTGGATCCTGTGTGGATGCCTGGTTCCATACTGGATCCCGTGTGTGGATCCCTGGTTCCACCCACTGGATCACCGCCCACTGAGGGTCAGGAGATGTCTGGACTCACTGCGTGTCTCTTTGTCTCTCTCCCCCCGACGCCTTGTTCACTTTTCCCCCCATTCGCCCTTTTTTTGTCCGTCCTACTCGTCCAATCGCTGCTCTCGCGGTTCTCAGATATGAAGCTAGAACGCGGTAAATGAAGATTTGCTGTGAAACACTTTCCTCCCTCTCTCACCCTTTCCTGTCCTCTCACCCCCTCCTCTCTCTCTCTCTCTCTCTCTCTCTCTCTCTGGCTCCTAATCACCCGACTAGTCTTTTCCTTGCTGTGAACTTACTAGGCATTTCATTTCACACTCAAGTTCTCGGCTAAAGGAAGCTTTGCGGTCGCCTCTTTAACGGAGGAAACCTGAGAGTAAACCAGAGTGGATCAAAAGTAAAAAAAAAACATTTATTGGGTCACAGTTAAGTGTATCAGCTGGGCTCTGACAGACTAAAACCTCTCTCTGGGTCTCAGTGGGCAAAGAGCCCTGAGATCTGGGTGATGGGCATTATCTCCTGGGCTCCATCCGCCTCCTCAAAGGAGGACTGGACACAACCAAGTCCTATTGGCCAGTTACCTCTGGGCAGGAACAGGCCAGGTCCTAATTCATGCAGATGACAGGAATGCGCTAACAAATGGTGTGTATTTGTGTTGACCTAAAGGTGGATCTAATGCAACAGAGAAAATAAAAAGAGAGAGGAGAGTCTATGGTTACAGACGGAGAATTTAAGACAAAAATATAGTTTTATAAGGAAATAAAACAATTAGTAATTTACATAAATTATTTGATAGCATACAATGTTAAAGTGAGTAGTTATAGCCAAATTCTAACAAGGCGACCGCAGCGCTCCGCTTTCATCCTTGAGTGTTTCTTTCAAATCTTTTGGATCACAGATCTACTGTAACTCCTTGGAGCCCGGTAGCTTTAGCTTTCCCCTCCAGCTCTTTGTGGTCACAGAGAGAAGGTCCATCCTCACAGCCAGATTTCTGTGGAACATCAGATCGGGAAAAGTCACAAGTCCGTCTGGCTGCAGACTGCAGGAAGCCAAGGATGGCTACCAACTCCATCCACATCCAAGTCGGCCATTTTATTAGGTCACCAATAGGAAGATCCCAGGCAAGAAAATCCTAATTGCTTCATGCCAATACAGACATTCATTTTAAAATAGTGAAATGAATCTTGCCAACACTGAATTAAACTCTATCCATAATATTATGTTAAAATAGTGGATGTTAAATAGGTTTGTACAATAAGTCCAAACAAGTTTAACCCAAAAAATATTTCTTTCTCACAATTATGAAGGGTGGAGGGTTAGGGTTAGGGTTGGGTTAGGACATCGTTTATCTTCTGATTTTGTGTAAACAGTAAAGTTTTGTTTCCACCTCAGAAAGCTGCTAGTCACATGACCTAATCAAAATGGCCGACTTGGATGTGGGAGGAGTTGGATATCCAGCCGAGGCTCCTACAGGCTGCAGCCAGAGGCTGCTCGACAGTTCCGATAGGATGAAAAATGCAGATCCTGGGTTCATGCTGTTTCCAGAGAGATATGACTTTGTTATCTATAAAGTTATCTGATGATGAAAAGCAGCAAAAGGCTCCAGCTTTGGTCTTTTAAAGATTCCCGTCATTTACAAATATGCAGCAAATTTGTGTCTGTCCGTCCTTTGCACCCCGCTTTCTTTTTAATATCCCCATCAAAGTATCAAAGCAGCTCACAGCTGCTGGTTCCTGTCCTGTGGTCCCTGTTTGTCTCCAGGATCGAGGTTTTAGGAAATCCCAAACGCTTGTTGTTTTGTTTTGTCTGACTTTGTACACAGAAACGGATTGGTCTGAGCATGCTAATGCATTGTTGTGAGAGACAGTGCTCTAAAAGCATGCTAATGAATTAGGTCAAAATATTGAAATCAGCCAAAGTGAGATGCTCCAAACAAAACAACAACTGATTTTGGTGTTAAAAAGTGAGTTTTTTACCACTGA